TAATACCAACCTAACCCCAATCCTAACCTTAATTTTAATAAAACGTCAAAATCACGTGGGTACATGGCTTTAGCCATAATTTAGTACTGTATTTAGTGATCGGGTCTTTTTACGTATCAAATTCTCCCAAATATAATTCTTACTACCCCCTTTTTAGGGGGCTGTATTACCGGCACAAATAAGTAAAGCCTGCTGGTACCGACATTTATAATTTACAAATTCATAATGTCTCGAATTTGTTCGCGACAAACTCAGGAAGGATCGAAAAGATTAAGCCTGAACACCGCTTACACAAAAGAATTTTTTGATAACGACGATGAAGAGTTATTTGATGTTGACGAATTTAATATAGATGAATTTAATATTAATAAAGAACATGATATATTTCCTTTTGAACCATATCTAAAAATTTTACAAAGAGCCTGGTTGAACGAGAATTTTTCAACAGAGATTCTGCCTTATGAGCCTGCCTTTGAAAGGTTAAATGAAATATTAGAAGACCAAGTAAGTATTAGATATCTTGTTTTAAATATAAAACGAACGATGCTAAAAATTGCTTTCTCTTAGAATTTCAGAGCTGAAAGTCTGACACTTTCACAAGAGACGAGTCCAATAGGAATGATATTGTTTATTGATAATGAACGTATAAAGTATGTAATGAACAGATATAAGCGAACAAGACTAGCAAAGGTATTTAACTATTTTGATTATCCTTTTTGTCATAATAATTGCAAATTTGTGACGCGTAATTAAATAAGTCCGTTACCAAATAGATCGAGAAATACGTGTTTTCCATTATTGGAAATGCAGAATATATGACAAGACTATCACTTCCGGAAAAGGAATTCGCTGAACGGTATAAATATATATTTATCCTTAGTATGGCCATGCTATTATTAATTACCATACTTTAAATAGATATAGGCGGTTAATTGAAGAGCATGAACACGCGTCGTTTTTACATGTGCTTCCCCAAGAATCATTAGATGCTCTAAAAGAGACTGAAAATGGTTAACATCGCTTATTAATTCTATTTTTTCCCGCGTTAAAGTCATCCGATAAGCTATAGTGGATGTCACATGACTAAAATTACTATTGATCACTGCTTAATAATGCCCTCGTAATTGAGACTGGGTATTACTCACCATCCGTACTAGCCTGTTCTTGAATAAGACCATATCTATATTAATATGATATATCCCCCCAGATAGGTTTATTGGATAATGCCTGTCAACATCTTTTTCAGAGCCCATCGCCAATCCTGATCCACACTAGAATTGTTGGTGAAACTAAATTAAGCTGGTGAAACTAGTGACTATCTAAAATTTGATTGGCTGTTTTATTGGAAAGTTAGAAAAAATTAGTTTGTTGGAAATAAGATAAAACAACCAATCAGATTTTAGGTAGTTACCAGTTTCACCAGCAACTTTAATCCACACACAGTACTATTCAATTTTAAAATGGAGTTCTTGAATATGACCCTGGGTACAGTAAGCAGTGGCCAACGGTATTAATATTTGTAATTGTTTGGATGACTTTAACGTAGGTCAAATATAATTTCTTAAATTTTTTAAATAAATGAACATAATCAAAATTTTATTTAATTTTTAATCTAAGGTACAGAAACGTCTTTTGCAACAATAGAACATCCCGATTTAAATCAAGCTGTATTTTGTCGACTTATTAAACATGTTGGAAGTTATTCGTTTCCATCAACGTAAATTTCATCTGCTTCACTTTATGACTTTTGAGTTTATTTTTCGTCTATTTCTCACGTTTATTCTTTAAAATCTAGTCCCCGTGACGCTGAAATATTAAATAAAGATGATGCTTATCTGGTTAAATATTCGGATGTACGGAACCTTCTAGAAGATCATTCCATCGAACTGATTTAAATTGAATCAAGGTTTCTCGTTAATTACCTAATAAAGGTCCCAATAATTTGTAGTGTATAAATATCAGGGTGTAATGTCGAATTATGTGAGTTAAGGTCATTATACGAGATAATGTGCATATATATTGTTATTTCGCAGTCATACTGTTATACGTATATGTTTATAAATACAATATAATTGGTATTATTGCTTGGAGCGTAGCGAAGTACCTACATTTTACTCATGCTTTGATCGATACAACCGAATATCTAACAGCAACTATCACCTTTATTAGTATTTAATTATATATATTACATAGATTTATACAGGAGTAAGTGTACAACTAACTATATATACAACTTTTAATTAATTATTTAAGTAGTTTGCTTGAAGGTTTTATACTAATCATTATACCTGTAATCTATTAGAAGATTACTATTTAAATTTTTTGGTTTTTACATTTTAAACAAACAAATAGTATTAATTTTTATATAATTAATGCTATTTAATTAAATATTAAGTTTTTTTTTTGAACTTGTATATAGGTTATTATTTATTTTAAAAAATATTACTTAATAGTAGATTTAAGAGACCTTTTTATTTTTATTTATTTTTTTTTTTTTGCTTACGCTAAGGCCTTTTAGTTATGGCGGCTATTGCCTTTATTGTGAATTCAATTATGATTACATAACTTGTACAAGGTTACCCTTATACTACACTAGCAGATAGCAGCA